GGATGGATAGATAGATGGATGGATGGATAGATGGATGGATGGATGGATGGGTGGATGGATGGATGGGTGGGTGGATGGATAGATAGATGGGTGGATGGATAGATGGATGGATGGATGGATGGATGGATGGATGGATGGATGGATGGATGGACAGCTGAATGAATGGATTGATGGATGGGTAGACTGATGGATGGGTGGGTAGATGGATGGATGGATGCATGCATGGTGGGTGGATGGACAGGTGAATGAATGTATTGATGGATGGGTGGATTGATGGATGGGTGGGTGGACTGATGGATGGGTAGGTGGGTGGATGGAAGTGTGAGTGGGTGGATGGAGAGACTGACTGAGAGGCTGAGTTCCCCTCTGCCTTTACATAGAAAAGAGAAATCCATACACCAGGCAGTGAGCTACCGCTAAGGCAAGCCTAGAACTCACTTCCCTTACCATATTAAGATACCTAGAGCAGAAGTGAAAGATTGACATCAAGGCAAACTCCTCTCCTAATACCATCTGTCTCTACCTCTCTTACCATCTTTCTGAGATGAGCTGGGACAGATAGACAGGAAAAGCGTTCCTCTAGAAAAGGTGATAGGGAGAGTATTATGGTTTAGATCTGGGTTGTCTCCCAAAGGCCTGATGGGTGCAGAGGTAGGGTGGAAGGTGATTGTGTTGTGGGAGTGCTGTATCATCAGTGGATTCATCTCTGATGAGTTCAGTAGCTGACTTCCTGCTTGGAGGTGGGCCCTGGGGATGTGGCCTGGAAGGGTGTGTCTCCTCCCCAGCTCCTTCTTTCTGTTTCCTGACCACTCTGATGTAAGCAGCTCTCCTCCACAACAGACTCTCCTAACACACTATTTCTGCCTTGGAGCCAGCGGACCATGGATGGAAAATGTAAGCCAAAATACACCTCTCCTTTAAGTTGTGGGTGCTGAATATTGTGCCCTAGTGACAAGGACACTGACTGAGACAGAGCCGACAGAATTATATCCTTCCCATGGGGCACCTCCCCAGCCCCAGACATGGACACCAGCACGGTTCTTCACACTGAGAAAGCAAGCCTGTCACCTTGCTCCACGGCCAGCAGAATCTCAAGCATCCCCTGGAATGCTCATGGCACAGGCAAATTCAAAGCCCACCTCCAGGGATGCAAAGTGGAGGTGTGTGGAGCAGCACCCAAGAGACCCACACTTGGAGAATGCCCAGTGTGCAGGGGGACACATCACTGCCAAGCAAGTGCCCCAATTACAAGATCCCCTCCCACAGATGCGATCATAAAACCGTTAAATCCAGAACTGCACCAAGGGATTCACAAACTGGAGCTGCAATGAGACCGCTGCGTGGAAGCCTTGAGAGCCAGAGGAGCTATGGGCTTCCTGTCAAGGAACCAGTCACTGTCCTGGCGCTGTGCAGCTTCCTCATTACCTTTGGCCTGCAGATCACTCCAGTACCAATTCTCGCTCCACCAGGCTGTGCAGATGCAAGAGATGTGTGTGAAAGTGCGCCCGGGAGACTGCACACAGCATTCAAGAGGGCATGGTCACTCTGTATCCACTCCGATGGACTCGCACGGGGTGAAGTTGGTAAACATTACACATTCCATGATAAGGGAGCCAGCTGGGGCTAAACCCCAAGGCCTGGCCCAGGGGGGGACACAGGCTTGACCGCCTGTGGCACTTGCTGACTGGCTCAAACACTCCCTGCCGGTGGCCTTTCCTTCCCTGTGCTCCAGCCTCTGTCCCCCAGTCTGGACCTCACCGCCTTTCCGTAGTCAAGCAGGCCAGCTGCTTTCCCTGCGGGGGCGCCCCCTGCAGGAGGGAAGCCACCTGGCTGGGCGGTGACTGAGGCGTGGAGGGAGAGTCGCCATACTGTTGCAGAATTTCCCACTCTCGCCTTCCTCAATTTGCCCACCACGTCCAGCAGTGATGACTGCCTTCACCTAACAGCCTTTGCCCCCTGCTCAAAGAGGCAACTGGAGTCAGGAACATGTTGTCTGCTCTTTTTGCTTCCCATCTGCTGTGCTCTTGCTGTGCCCCCACTGCGCTTGCAGTCCAGCTTTCCACCAAGCTTCACGCCAGCACAGCCAGGCTCCAGAGCCGGGAGACAGCACAGGGTCTGCGGTCCTGCGTGACAGTCGCCCCTCTCCAAGTGCCTGCTCTAACGGTGGATGGAGCGGATGGGGAAGTAGATCCTGGCATCCACCATCTCTCCAGGGCAAGTCCAGTCAACACTGTCCCCATGAGTTTGCCTTCCAGGGATAACACCTACTCCTGGGTGCTGTGCAGGTTAATTTGGTTAATATTTCAGCAGTGCTTAAAACAATGCCTTGGGCTGGGAATATAGCTCAGTGGCATAAGCACTTGCCTGGCAAGCCTGAGGTCATGAATTCGATTCCCAGTACCAAAAATAAATAAATAAATTAAACAGTGCCTCCTACTTGGCAAATGCTGCTTACTGTTATTATTTTGCCTTGTTGTATAGCTTTGTTCTGAACTTCAGAAGAGCTCAGGTAGTGGTCATTTCATGACAGGACAAGTTTGGTTCAAGAGAAAAGTTCTTCTTAGCCTCCAGGCCCCACTCTCCCATCCAGCTGCAGGAGGGAAGGCATGACACCCTTCCACACCTCCCTTCTTCTTTTATAAAATTTCTTTACAAAAGTAAACCAGGCCTGCCACACCCATGCAGCTCGCCATCTCACCCCTGTACCGCTCTCCTTGTAAACACAGAGCCTATGGCTCTGCAGAGTGCCCCAAAGGGAGTGGCTGGAGCTTCTGAGATGTCAAACCCCGCGGTAGATCTTCTGGAGGCTCTAAGCTTTAAAATGATGTCCCTTAGTCCAGTGAAACGATAGAAAGAATGTGCACTATGGATTTTCTGGATATAATATGAAACACCAAGCTGGATGCAGTGGTACACACATGTCTGTCATCCCAGAACTCTGCGAGGCTGAGGCAGGGAGATCAAAAGCTCAAGCCAAGTCTTGGTAACTCAGCCACTGAGCAAATTTTGTCTCAAAATAAAAAATCAAAATGGATCAAGGGTGTGGCTCAGTGTAAAGGCCCTGCGTTTAATCCCCAGTACCAAAGACAAAGAAGCAGGAAAGGAGAGAAGGAAAGGGGAAGGAAAAACTGGAGCTCAATGCAAAGGCCCTGGATTCAATCCCCAGTACAAAGAGGCAGGGGAGCGAGCAGGCCCATAACTCTCCTAAGAGGGGAAGAAATCTATAACAAGTCTAAGAGGAACCGAATCCCCTCCCCAAATGTTAAGAAGTTTACTAGGGGTGGGGTCAATCTGGAACAGTAGTAGGTAAAAGCTAGAGAAAAAAAGTTTTCTTTGAATATTTGATCTGAACTTGCTCTTTATGAAAAATAATTGCAGAGACTTCTAAATGGTTTTCATATGTACTTAAGAAAAAGAAGAAAACTTTTAGATGGAAGCTTAAAAGCAGTTGGGATCACAGGAGCAGTAAGGCAACACCATGTCATTGGCCTTCATGACATCCCTACTCCAAGTCTTCATATGATTTTCTCAGGCCCCACTGATAAAATAGCACAATTTAGAAAATATAAGCCTGAAGGGCTGGGGCTGTAGCTCGATGGTAGAATGTTTGCTTAGCATGCACCAGGCCCTAGTTTCTATCCCCAGCACCACAATTAATCAATTAATCAATCAATCAACAGAAATAAGCCTGAAGTACTAATTGTTTTGATCAAAAGCAGAAAGTCTTCACTTACCTGGTGGAGGCTGAACCACAGTAAGGGCTACAGTTGCAGACTTGCTGGCCTGCAGACTCCTCAGCTCGGCCACACAAGTCAGCGTCCCGTTGCCCTGCGGCGTGAGAGCCAGGACACTCACTGCACGTGGAAGGTCGCCAGGCTCCAGAAAGGAGGAGTAGCTGGAATGGCTCACGGGGACACCGACCTCCCAGGTAATATCCGGGGGCGGGATCCAGCCCGAGGCTTGACAAGTGACATTACAAAGTTCATCCTCAATAACTACAAGGCTATCATTGAGGATGTGCAAGGTGCCCATAACTAAAGAAGAAAAGAGAGAAATGACCGAGGAATGACAGGGCCTCCAGGTGCTACAGTTTCTTTTTTCAATTTTTGCTTCAAATCACATTTCATGAGACTTTCTTCCCAACCCCCAAAGGCTGTGTCTGTCCCAGAAATCCTCAGCTTGGGCTTTGTTTGTGTCCTTTTCATGCACACTTGGCCCTTGGAAGAAGATGAGGCTTCTCCTAAGAAAATATCTAATTACGGAGACAATGAATAAATAAAAATAAGGAACCAGGAGTAAAAATCACATGGGAAAGAAAAGGCAGATGCATGTGCATAAGGAGCTGCACAGTCACTGAAGTGGAACCAAAAAAATTGTCAGGCTGTCCTGGAAGCAAAAGTGAAAAGGGAAACGATCTTTACATTCCTTTCAAAGTAAGGAGAACATAACCCAGGATGTCCTGGGGAGAAGTCTCTCCTGTAGTTTGGCTGCATCATTTATTTTATTTATTTTTGAGGTCACAAATATTTAAACATAACTTTTTTGACATTGTCTTAAAAATGTGTTTCAATTTATAAATAACACCGAAATCAAATATAACACAGAAGTAGCTAACCCAAACATGCAGGAGAATAATTTACTCAGATAAATTATTTTTAAAGTTTTGATAAGAACAGACTTGCCTGTGACATATGGTAATAATCCATACCATGTACATATTATTGGTTTTGCTGATATTGCTAAAATAACCTGAGGATTGGCTCTGGCAAAGACACAGCCTTAGTGAAATGTATAAGCATTGAAATATTCCAATTAACACATGCTAAAAACTGCCAGCTATATAATATAATGAGAAGAACACTGGAATAGGAATCAAAAAATCTGTTCTCAATCCTGATTCTGCCTCCAAATTGTCACCACCCTGGGCAAGAACTAGAATTTTGTAGTTCTCCATTTTGCATTTATCAGTGAGAGAATTTGACTTGATCAGTGTTTCTCAAATATTTTGGTTTTAGTATCTTTTACACTCTCTAAAGTTACTGAAGACTCCAAAGACCTTTCATTTGTATAGCTGCTGCTATTAATACTTACCATATCTTAACTTACAATTGCATATTTATTTTGAAATATTTATCTAAAAGTAATGAACTATTACATGTTAATATAGATCAACATGTTTTTATAAAAATCATACACTGTAAAGCCAAGAAAAATTAAGAGTGACATTGTTTTTTATGTGTGCTAAGTCCCTGTGATATCTGCCTAGATTCTTGTGTCTGTTCCTTCATTCAGTCTTTTGCAACAGATTTCTTTGTGTGAATGATATAAAGAAACACTGACTCCACACAGAAAGAGTTGGAGCTGTGAAGTATATTTAACAGCCTTTTAAATAAATGGTAGGTAGTCCTCAACACTATACCAAAACTCAACAAGTAGTGGCTTCTTTCTTTCTTTTTCTAAGTAATGGTTTCTTAAAGGCCACTGGCATTGTGGAATCTGAAACTAGATTAAGAAAGTTTCATCTACTCTTACATTAAAATTTACTTTTAGTTATATAACCTAAACCTAAGAATAACTTGTTTGTTTTTGTTATTTAACCACAAATATTGTTCATATGGCTAAAGGTGGCAAATTAATACCACAGTTTATAATTTTCTAGGCTGTTTATAATTCTATTATTAATGCCGGTTATACTACTTTTGCCAAATTGACATGATTGTTCTAATCAGTTGTTCTTCCTGATATGCCGAGACTGAAATTGCTTAAGGGTCATAAACAATACTATAAGCCAGTGCCAAAGAACCAGAGGTTAGGCCAAGTAGGCAGCAACTTTTCATCCCTAATTAAATGAAGAGGTAGGATCTTGCAACAGACTCAAGACCCAAAAGCCAGCTGCACCTGGAAGACATCTCTGAGAAGTAGTAATTTCCTAAGTGCTCTAAATACAGTCAATAAAGCTACCTGCCATAAGCAATTTACAAGCATCAACATAGGAATGAAACTAAAACAAAAATAAAAAGAAAATGAGAAGGCACTTAAACAAGATGCAACCCTAGAGTTCCAGCTCAACAAACGCAAACCCAGAGCGCAATGAGGTGGAACAATTTGACATCCACCCACTTGGACTCTGAACTGGCACCAATGATACTAACAAAGCGGATGAATGAGAGTCTAGAAAAAAATCTGATCAGAAGTAACCTCTCAGAAAACTACAGAGATAATGACCATAATGACAGACTTGGTTAGTGACTAGAGCAGACACAGATAAAAAAATAGAGGAGCTTAGGAAAATGATGGGAATCATGAATGTCCAACATAGGAAAGAAATGGAATCCATGAAACAAACACAAACGGATATCCATGAGACTAAAATTTCCATTGAAAGTATACGCAGCAGAACAAGCCAAGGTGAAGACAGAATATCAGAGATAGAAGACAGAATTGCAGTTAGCAATCATGAAAGGAAAGATTTCTTAAAAATAGCAAGGGACCATAAAAAATTTCAACAGCTGCTAAATGATGCAAAGAAGAATAACACAAGACTGATTAGAGCCAAGGAAAAAGCAGGAGATAGACCAAGTGACATAAAAAAACCTGCTTACAGAAGTAATGGCAGAAAACTTCCCAAGCATGGAAAAAGAATTTAACATATAAATGAGGCATACAGAACTACAATTAGCCATGATAAAAACTACATTAAGGCATATAATAGTCAAGATTCCAGAATGCAAAAACAGGATGTTAAAAGATGTTAGAAAAAAGAAACAAATTATGTACAAAAGAAAGCCCATCAGAATCACAGCAGACGTCTCAACAAAAATTCTCAAGTCAGGGAGAGCTTGGAGTGAAGTATTTCAAGCCCTAAAGAAAACAACCTCCAACCCATATTGATGTACCCCACAAAACTGTCTTTTAAATTTGATAGAAAGATAAGATACTTCCATGACAAAGAACACCCGTGACTAAAAATTATCATCACAAAAGATGTTCTGAAAGACATTACAGAAAGAGATACAAAGACTACAACTCCATGAACCTCAACAAAATGAATCCACAAGGCAAGACAAGTAATTATACAGAGGGGGAAAAAAGAGAAACAACAACAGGAAAATAACATTACAAGGGTAAGTCCATATATGTCAGTTATAACTATCAATGTAAATGGCCTCAGTTTACCAGTCAGAAGAAACAGACTGCCAGAGTGATTAAGAAAGCAAGATCCAACAATATGCTGCATACAAGAAACACATTCAGTTGAAAAAGAAATTCATACACTGAAAGTCAAAAGATGGAAAACAATACTCCATGAAACAGGAACCCAGAAAAAAACAGGGACAGCTATTCTATATGCAGGCAAAGTGGACTTTGAGCCAAGACTAATTAACAGAGATAAAGAAGATCACTATATCCTTGTAAAAGGAATAATCCAAGAGGAAAAGAAAACAACCATAAATGTGTATGCACCAAAACCCAATGCATCCAACTACATAAAACAAACATGAATGTCTTGAAAAATCAAATAAGCACTAATACATTTGTAACGGTGGGCATCAATATCCCAAATAGACAGATCAACTAGACAAAAATATCAACAAAGAAATATCAGAACTGATCCAAACCTGTGAACAAATGGAATTAGCTGATGTCTACAGAGTGTTCCACCCCACAACATCAGAATACACATTCTTCTTAGCTGCACATAGTATGTTTTTCCATAATAGACTACATTCTAGCTCATAGAACATGCTTAAGTAAATGTAAATGAATTTAAATTATCCTATGCATATTACTGGAACATAATGGAATGATATTGGAAATCAATGGTAAAAGAAGCCATAAAAACTTCAGGGGCTGGGGATTTAGCTCAGTGGCACAGCACCTGCCTGGCAAGCATGAGGTTGTGAGTTTGATTCCCGGTATCGGGAAAAAACAAAACAAAAAAACCACTTCTAAATAAATGGAAATTAAATAACAGTCTCTTAAACAACAAACAGGTCACAGATGAAATCAAAGATGAAATTAGACAGTTTCTACAATTACACAATAATGCAAATACAATATACTAATGGGATGCAAAGAAAGCAGTCTTATGAGGGAAATTTATAGTAATGAATTCTCATATCAGAAAAACAGAGCAAGCTCAAATAAATGACCTAATTTTGAACCTCAAGCTTGTAGAAAAAGAAGAGCAAGTCAAGTCCAAAGTTCATAAAAGGGAGGAAATTAAAAAGATAAGAGCAGAAATGAATTCAGTGGAGACTAAGAAAACAATATGAAGAATCAACAAATCAAAGAGTTTGTTCTTTAAAAGAGTAAATAAAATTGACAAACTCTTACCAACTCTATCAAAAAAAGGAAAGTAAAAACTCAAATCCATGCAATTAGGAACGAAAAGCGGGGAATCACAACAGATCCTGCAGAAATCCTGAAGATCATCTATACTTACTATGGGAATTTATACTGTAATAAAATGGAAAATGCAGAAGAAATGGACAGATTCCTAGATACATATGAATTACCAAAGCTGAATCAAGAAGATATAAAAATTTCAAATAAACCAATATCAGTCAATGAAATTGAAGATGTAATGAAAAACTTATCCATAAAGAAAAGTCCAGGCCCTGCTAGAATTCACTGCTGAATTCTACAAGAACTTTACAGAAGACCTAATGCTACTACTCTTCAAACTTTTAATGAAATTGAAAGGGAAGCAGTACTCCCAAATTCATTCATGTATTACCCTGATACCAAAACCAGAGAAGGATTTAACCAAAAAAGAGAATTATAGGTTAATCTCCCTAATGCACATAGATACAGTAATCCTCAGTACGATACTGGCAAATAATATAGCAAATCATCCAGAAGACTGTACACCATGACCAAGTAGGATTCATCCCAGGGATGCAGGAATGGTTCAACATACACAAATCAATAAATATAGCAGACTGTTGTAGTTTGGAGTTTTTCAAGGGGAACAATATAATGTAGGACACACATTTTATAAGATTATTTATAATAGTCACCCAAAGAATCA